GGGGTGGATGTTTGTCTAAGGGGACAAATTTAAATCCCCCTTAGCTAATAGAGAGCTTTGTGCCCTATCGATTATATCTTAGTGATTAATATCTCAAGGAATTAGTGTAATTGGGGAGATATTGCCATGACCGTAATTTAGTTGTGTCATTTGATGGCAAACCACCCGGTTTAGAGGGCATCGGTCATAACCGTTTACCTACGGTGCCATTTGGCTGCAAAACTGCTAGTTAGAGGACACGTGCAACCTCCTTACTGGCTGGAGACTGATTAAGAATGAATCCTAATGATATTCCCAGCCATACACTAACTATTTGTGAGCTAAAGTAATTTTTTTAACTTATCTACCTCGGCAAACTATTACGAAGGATGGACGAGTTTTGTGCTTTAAGTGCTTGGTGGTAGAATTTCAATTTTAAATATTTGATTTTTTGGATTTTTTATAGTTTTGAATTTTCTTGGGTATTTTGGCAGTGTTTTGAATATTTGAAATTGACACCTCCGGTTGAGATCCGCGATTAACACAACCATCATCGGGGTGTCTATGGGGCATTTGTATTTATTGATTAAACCTTATCGACACTGTCAACTCACCGACAAAGGATTAGGTTCGTTGTTGGTTATGATTTTGTTAATAATTTTTTTTGTTATGGGCCTTAAAGGCCTAACATGAACATATAAAACAAATATCCCGGTTAATACCGCGATAGTATATTTGTTTGATAGTTTGAGCCGTGTCGACTCTCATTTACCCGCAAAAGAAGGATCGAGCTCGAACTTAGGTTTATTATTTGACTCGTGCAGCATCCCTAGACGTCACGTGTGTACTTATAACACGCTCACCGGGGCCCATGCGGATCTATAACTATATGTGCATTTCTTTGTGTTTGTGTATACATATATTGCGGTGTATGTGTGGGTATATTTTTAGGACATTCGACAGATCTTCTACGACAACTCATAGGAACTCGTGCTTGTCGTAGCCCCTCTATGTTTGCCAGTAGGTGGTATGTTAGATGCACGACCACTGTTCATCAAGAAGCTTGCAAGCCTCAATAATCTTATCCAACTCAATGTTCAAAACCTGGTTGAACTGAGACTCACTCCATCTTTGAAAATAATGATTTGATATGGCTTTCTCTTCCCATAACTCATATAGAAATCAATAGGCAACTCCCTAATTATATTATCATCATCATTTTCGGTTGATGACTTAAATAAAAAATCAATCATTTCAATATTGGATGACTACATTCTTACTGATGTCCTACACATCGAAATCAAGGGACACCACTTTGAACTGATAACTGTAGTAATTGAAGGCACATCAAACCGTATAGGAGAGCCATGCAAGGTATCCTATTCCTAAAATAAATGATGCAATCCTTGAGATGATTAGAATAGCATGTGCATTTTCTACTTGTAATCATGAGTTTATGCCACCAAGCTTTACATTAATCTTTACCAGCATATTTATCAAATATGGATCATTAACTCTAGTGGGCGCAATGCGTTGTGTGTTGATATTCACTTGAATGCATCCAGATATCACATTGTCATTTTCACTATATATCGAATCTTTCCGGTTGCAACTAACATGTTGAATGTCAAATAGGTCTCCTGCAGTGTCATTGAACCCTTTTGCTTGCATGAAATCGACATGTTTGATCAGTAGACTGTCGCATTTACTTGTGTATCTTCTAGCGTTCGTAAGAATTGTTGTGTATAGTTTACAAGACAATTGACGTCGATCATAGGGAGATTTTCAAATTTATAGCATGTCAACTATCGTTATTCACGAAAGCACTAGTACACTTGCTTATTGGTTGATGGTTGTCACCTATGTGTATAATGTTCTTCATACGAAAGGTCGTTCATCATTTCTTGCAAATAACACTTCAAATGAGTATTCATTTGCACTGGAGGCATGTCGTATCTGCGATATACCACCTTTCATCATGTGTATGAAAGTTAGTACGCTCATCTGTGATTAGCCATTAACCACTGGTTGAGTTGCATTTCACTATCAATTTCTTCATGCATGTGTCGTTTGTGTATCTCTTGTCGCCGCCTATAAACAACTCTCTTTCGTGAATCGGCTATAACACTCCTTAAAGACTTTTACATGATGATTCGTAGGCAGATTGTCACATGTCTTGCAATTCCCACTGGCTATTGCTTCAGGATGAATTAAATCCAATGTCATGAGTTAATTATCATGATCCAAAAGCACACACACAATGACTTTATGATCAAATCATTAACTCTAACAATCTTCTTTCTCTTTGCTCATTAAGATTTGCATTCCAATTGAAGTGATGATTTTTTAATGGCCCATTAGAAATTTTGCATCACTATTCGAATCAAGTCCCTTATTGATTGTTCATTTTAGTCATACTTAAGTTCAAGTTAGGTTGAGCTCATGTTCATGCTCGTTGTAATCCACATCCAAATTTGAGTCCAAGTCCCCCATAGTCGGATTGCAAGTCTCTGCTCGTATCCAAGTTGTTCAAGTCATTCTCAATTAGTGTTCAAATCAAGCTCAAGTTCAATGTCGAAATCAAGTTCCTTGTCGTCCAACTCAGGTTCAAATTTGATTCCGGTTTGAGTTCATGCCCATTGTAGCCTTATTTAATTCAAGTTCAATTTAATCGTTTGACTTAGGTCTATTATTTAATCATTTAAGTTTGTATTTAGCCCATTTAATATTCAAATCAAATCCAAATGAAGTCCCCTGTTTTTTTCATGTCTTTGTCGTTTTCAAACAAAATTTCAACAGTCTCCTACGAGCAAATACAGAGAGTCTGCCGACAACATCCTCATGACACCTCACTGAGGCCCCCTTCTCAACATTGGTTGAGTTGCATCTCAGTCGTCATGCTGAGTTCACCTTCTCAGCATGCCAACAAGCTCATTCTCGGCTTTGTGAAGTTCCCACTTGACAAGCGTCGAGTTCCCTTCTCAGCATCTTCCGACATCATCTTGTTTCCTCCTCAACAAGTCAGCAAAGTCTTCTTGGCAAAATTATATTCATCACACTTGGTGTGTCATTGAATTCCATCTCAACTTCCTCGACAACCTGGCACCTCTTGAACTGTAGACTTGGCACCAATTTCTTTCTCGCCTTCTCGACAAGTCAACAACATCTTGCTTCCCTTACCAACAACTTAAACAAACTAGTAATTACAATTTACAACTTGGCCCGACCCTCCCCTTCACCTTCTTGGCAAGCCAACTCCCAACTCTCCATTCCAACGACTCAACAATTTGCTCAGCACTGCACATACTCCCATGCATGTTCACCTTTCACCTCGAACCCCACTAACAATCAAATCATGTGATATATGTGCCACCAATGGGCATGTTTCAATGAAAAGCACCTATGACCAAATTAAGTTATTATTTCTCCTCATTTCCACAGTAAGCCACTTAGTTGCTCTAAATGAAAATATTCTCCCTAGCCGCCTCACAATATTATAATCCTCCTTAGACTTTGAGCTCCTCTGGACAATGCCTAGTTGTCTCCCATTGCTTCCTTTCGCCACTTTGAAATGCGGCAACCTATTAGAGGTTTCAGCATGTTAAGTTCCTCAGTGCTAGATTGCGAGATCTAAGCTTATGTATTAGCGCCATATTGGTGATGAAGAGTTTCCTTCGAAACATAATGTATTTTTTATGTTCGCTCACTTGCAAAACATCATTTTGTACTTTTTTTACCCACAAGTTCTCTTGAGTTCACACCCTCGTCAACAATGAGTTTCATGCAAAATACTTTTTACTATATTTTTTAATGTTGCACATTTTTATGCATTTTTTCATGAACTTGCGTTATTGCATGTTTTTCAACACCTTATTTTATTCTGACATTCCTTTATTATGCAAAAATATTTGGGAAATTTTTAGCAGTGCTTATGCATCTTATGCATCACCAACATGAGAAATGCGTTGGTACAATATATTGAGATCAAAAGTTTATCTATTATCATGTCAACGGTCACGAAAAAGGTATATAAGAAGTGCTCACATTACCTAGACGAGGATAAAATTTGTCTGCCATGTCAAGAATGATGTATATTGGAGGGGCATGCGAGGAGCTCAAAATTTCACCGAGTCACCTCATGATGAGACCGTCCCATCCTCTATTTTTTCTTGTCCCAATGAGGTGTTTGCATAATGTAGAGGAGTGCGGTGCAAAGAAAGGCAAAGAGAGTAGGGGGGAGGGGGTGCTTAGTTGCAGGAAGAATGATATAGTAAGGGGGAGAAAACATGTAGTGAAGAGAAGAAATGTCAGAAGGGGAGGAAAGGGGTTTTTTTTTTATAATTGTGAAGGGTTTTTTGTCTTGTACTTATATATGCAGGGTTAAGCCAAGCTGTTAGGTCAAACCACTTATTTCGTGATCTCCCAAACTATGACAAACGAAGAATACCTTCTTTTGTTTTCGACGTTGGGGAAGCCCTGTATCTTTATAAGTTGTTGATAATTCTTATATTTTTTAGCATAATGAAACATGTGTCAATTTTCTAATGGACTTATTAAGGTATTTGTTTACAACTTCCTTGTTGTCATTCCAGGCTCATCAATCTGGAACCAATGCGTAGTTGCTTCCATCTGAGGTGGCTGGTCTAGGAAATTAAATTGATCACGATTAAGGTTATAATCATTCTCGAAAAATCAATGTCATATTCTTATGTATCATCATCATAATTATTATTACTCATGCATATTCACCAAAATCGTAATAATCATCAGCGTATTCATATGCACTAAAATTGGTCTTCAAGAAAGCTAAAATATAGTAGGTCTAAAACGGATCCCTTTTGCTTGTCTTAAGAAACGTCACTTTCAGGTTTGAGTTTTGTGCTTGAACTCCAATGATAAATGGTAAAGATATCCAATATGAAAAGTAAAATAACTATAAAAAGAAAAAAAAAACATGGATTTCAAGCAATTTCCGTTCCATGTAGTCAAGGGTATAATATTGCTTAAAATCTATGCTATTTTTACTGCCATTCCCATACCTCGACTACATTTTCACAGCCATTTCCATATTTCATAGGCTGTTTGTTTTTGTTTTTTGAAAGATTTTCGCCAATGATCACAACTCCATCTTGATCATTATCATCATCATCTATTTCAATAACATCATGAGGAACAACCTGTAATGAAAAAAGTTAAGAGCAGGTAACTTTCTAGGAAATAATAAGAAATTACAAGCAAAAGAAACCTAGTAAATAAGCGTGAGAACAAGAAATATCCTGACAAGAAGTTCATTGGATGATACATATACAAATTGTTGGACAAAGGCAAACAAAGAGATGGTGTGAATTTGGTGTTCTATAGGGCACTTTAGATTCTAAATACATCAATTCAAATTCTCACACTTAATATCAAGATTAAAAAAAATGATTTAACAATAAAGTACACATTAAATAAGCAATCAAGTATAGAAATATAGGAGATATGATTAAAAAAATGTGAATTAATTAATACTAATAGTGTACAAGTGATTAACCACTAGATCTATTACTACTAAAATTACACTCCATGTATTCAGTTTTAGATCCACTCAAAAGAAAACCTTTAGACTCTAAGGTTGACCTCCATTATTCAAGTTTACCTTTAACTCCCTCTTTAGGCTTACCAACAAGAAGAATATCATCAACAAAAAGCATACACCAGGGTACAACCTCTTGTAAATGTCTATTGAGAACATCTATGAGTAAAGCAAAAAGATATGAGCTTAAGGCTGATCCTTGATGTGATTCAACTAAAATTGGAAAATACTTGATCAATCCGCCTTGTGTTTGAACACAATTACCAGCTCTTGCAAACATATTCTTACTGAATTGAATATAAGCATTATTAACCTCTTTATTTTCTTGAACTCTCAATAGCACTTCTCTTGAAACTTTTATCATATGCTTTCTCAAAACCAATAAATATCATATGTAGATCCTCCTTATTCTCTCTATTCTTCTCCATCAAACTTCTCAATAAATGTAAAGCTTCCATAGCAGACCTACATGGCATGAATCCAAATTGATTTTGAGAAACATTAGTGTCACATCGCAACCTATGTTCTATAACTCTCTCCCATAGTTTTAAAGCATGACACATTAACTTAATTTCTTTAAAATTAGCACAATCTTGTGCATCAACTTTATTTTTAAAAATATAAATCAACACACTCATTCTCCACTCATCTGACATCCTTTTAATCTTCAAAATAGTATTGAAAAGTTTAGTAAGCCAATAAATTCCTTCATCTCCTAAACATTTGCACACTTCTATAAGAATATCATCAGGTCCAACAGTTTTTTCACACTTCATTTTCTTTAAAATTTCTCTAACTTCGGTCTTACTAATACACTGATAAAAAAAAAATCTTTATTTTCATTTAAGGTGCTAAGTCACTAAAGTTAATTGTATTTTATTAAAAAAATTTGTAAAATATCTCATCCACATTTGTTGAATATCCTCTTCTAATTAAAGCACCTTTTGATCTTTATCCTTAATGTACTTCACTTGAATTAAATCCTTACTATTCCTATCTTTTGTTTGGCTAACTTATACATATATCTTTCGCCCTCTCTAGTATTTAATCTATTATATAAATCATTAGAAGCTAAGATCTTACATCGCATATTAATCCTAACAGGCCTTTTATATATTTTTCACTAATCAGAATTATTATATCTAAAAAAAATTTATAACAATTTTTTTTTATTTTTTAATCTTTTCTTACACATTTTGATTTCACCACTAATTATTTTTACTATTATGAGATTTTTTTCTTTGATACTCTAAACACATCTTTTGCAACTTTCTAAATATCACTAGCTACCTTTTGCTATAGAACATTAGCTTCCTCATACACAAATAAAATCTTAAGATCTAGAATCTTACCCTCAAAAATATTTTTCTTAATATTTTTTAAATGCTTCCATCTAATCCTATAATAATATTTTACTTTAATTTTTTTCCCTTCATCTTAAAGTCCAAAACTAATAAGTGATGTTTGATACATAAACTTTCTTTCAGAATAAATTTACAATCTTTGCAATCTAAATGTTATATTTTTATTTAAAAAAAAAATCAATCTGAGTTTATTATATCTATTTTTATAAGTGGTGAGATACTCATCTTTTTTTCTTTATAAAGGTATTAGCAATTACAAAATCATAATTAAAAAAAAAATCCAATATGATATTACCACCTTCATTAGTCGCTTCAAATTCATAGCCACAATGGATGCTTTTAAAATCATCTCTTTCTACCAACATATCCATTTAAATCTCCTCCAATAAAAACTCTTTCTTCAAGAGATATGTTTTAATTAAGTGAAATTACACTGTAGATGAATGATTAAGTTATGCGAGCGAGTGTTTACTTTTAAGCTCAATAGAGATGTACTAAATAAACTGCATAAGCTATTAAAACTAAAACACTACAACAACAACAACAATAACAAGCCTTTATCCTACTATGTGGGATCGGCTATATGAATTATTTTTCTCAATTGTGTCCTGTTAAGAGTCAAATCCTCATCAAAATCTAATAAAGAAATGTCATTTCTAATATTTTTTAAATAAGTCTTTTTAGGTCTACCTCTACCTTTCTTAACATAAGTCAAATCTAATACATCTACTTTCCTAACCAGGTCATCGTAAGGCCGTCATTTTATGTGACCAAACCATCTAAGGCGACTCTCTTTAATATTATCTTCCACTAGAGCTACTACAATCTTTTCATGTATATGCTTATTTTGTATCATGTCTCTAAGAGTAAAGCCAATCATCCACCTAAGCATCATTATCTCTACAACACTTAACATTGTCGTTGCCATGTCCCAAGTCCTGAATGAGAAAAATGGAGGGTTATGCTAGGTAGTCAACAACCAACGTAAAACGTGTCGAATAATCATGACAACTAAACCACTAAACACAAAAATTATAATTGTGTCCAAAATAAATACAAATTATAGTGTGTAAAGATGATGCTAGATGTAAGAGCATGCAATTTAAGCAAAAGTAAATAAATTTACTCTACACAAAACCATAATATCATTTTTAACTTAAATCATAAAATTAACTTTCTAGCCCAAGTAATTAAGCAAGAAAATAAACAATAAGGTACAAAAAATAAAAAAACTAAACTATTGAGAAGTTGAAAATCATTTTACATGCTTCATTACCCAATCGGCGTACATTCATATCCAAGAATCACAACTCCAAAATGTTCAAAATACATATAAGTATAAAATTCCTCTAAATGTCAACCTATTTTCATTTAATTTTACTTTTAATTTCGAGAATTTTAGATATAAAGAACTACTAACTGATTAATATCACAATTAAAAAAATGTATATTTATAAATAGTAATGCCTGTAGAAATCAGTCATTTAAAAGTCATTATTGCATTCTACTTTAGTTTTTCCATTTAGCCAATCATGCATGCGTCTGACGGAGATCAGTGGGAGAAAATATTTTTATTTTCCATTTTTAAAAAAAAAAACTGTCGTCCCACAAGATTCGCTTTATTTATATTTAAATGAATTTCTTTGAGTCAAATCAGCATAGTTCAACATTATACCGTCCCGAAGGACAGACTAATGTTTTACTATCGATTTGAAAGAAAGAAAATTGTAATTTATTTCTCTAATCAGAAATAGTATAGGGAAGATACAAATCATCCTGAGGGATAATGAATATCTTCTCTTATCATTCTAATTAGAAAAATAAATTGTAGGTTTACCTCCTTAATCAAATATAGTAGATATTGGATTCATTGTAACAACAAATCCAATACCTATCTATTTTTTATTACAAATTTAAACTTTAAATATAGATAAGACAAACAATCTACGTTTCACAGATATTTCCCCTATCTTAGAAAGGAAACTAAGATAGGGTTTAGATTATTCTGGGATCTAGACTCCTTATAGGGACAAGCCCCTATAATTAATTACATATCCTAAGAGAATACTCTCGATTAAAATGAAGTCTAGATAATTTCAAAATTCATATGTAAGTCTAAAGAAATATTTGGGCCAATTAAATTTTCCATCTTCAGGCTTTAGATTATAGACTCTAACACTGGATTTAAAGATTTAGATTTTATTAGATTAAGGAAATTGCAGAGAGAAAGGTGTATATAATCTGGACTTACCACCTGCCTAGAGTGGGCTGTCAGCTAACAATCTTAATCACAACAATCGCTGATGAATGCAAGATTTAAGAATAGCTCTATCCTAGGATTCAAGGAGTGGTTAAAGAGATTTGAATCAAATGCAATGAAATATGCTTACAAAAATTAAAAATCTACACGTATGCTTATGATGCATGAATCACAAATTAATATAAAAGAGCTGATTTTATTAATATAGAATTTACGGATTACAACCCAGCGTCTGCAGTAAAGTAAAGGTGGTCAGACCCCACCAACAACAAACAATGGTTCTAAACCTATAAGAAAGTAGAATCAAATATGATTGCTTAGGGTCTTCAGGCTCCAAGTCTTCTATGAAATATCAAAAAGGAAAACATCCTCTTGAGAGAGGATATTATTTTTTGGAGCCCCGTCTGTATATGTATAAGCAGTCATCTTTAATTCTTTTACAACAGTGGACACAATACAACTCGATCTATATACAAAAATTCTAAGAAAATGAAATATACATTTCTCTTTATAAGTACATCATTCCTAGTAACATTCTACTTTGCAGGAAAGTAAAAGCAGCAAAGTAAACACAAAAAAAGTAAATGCAGTTATGAGTGTGTTGTGAACAGTTATAAATGTCAAAAAATAAAGACAAAAAAGTAAAGTACACGGTCCACACTTATTCACTCAGCTCTCTGGTGCACTAATAGAAAGTAAATATGCATGCTATGATTTGCAGAAAAATAAGCAAACAAACATAGGTGTCATCTAGGCAAGACACCCACAATCAAACCACAATAATCCACCGGGCTAGTCTAGGCTAAAGTTAGTTGTCCAAGCAAATATCTAAGTGTGTGAAAAAGGTTTTGTGGCTTTGATATATCCTATAGAGACTTATATTTGAATTACATGTATTATTAAGGTTTATCGTTAAAGACCAAATGGGAATTTAATTGAAGTTTAAGTTATGTGTATTTGACTTTTAAATTATTTCAA